TTGCTGACAATAAGCTGGAAATTTATCAGAGCCATGCGAACGAGTTTTGGGTTTCCTACAAACATGATTAGGTGGATTATGGAATGCATAACTACTACATAGTTTTTATTATCTCTTAATGGGTCATTACATGGATATTTTGAGGGAGCAAGAGGTTTGCGGTAGGGTGATCCCATATCTGTTTGTGATTGGAATGGAATACTTGTCTAGGAGGCTAAAAACTCTCAAATCTAACAGTTTGTTCAAATATCACCCCAAATGTACTAGCATGGAGATAATCCATTTGATCTTTGCTGATGATTTACTCCTATTTAGTAAAGCTGACATGAATTCAATTAGTAGATTGAACAACTGCCTTCAAGACTTCAGTCGAATATCAGGTTTGGAGGAAAATCCAAGCAAATGTTCTATATACTTGAGTGGGGTTGAAGACAATGTAAAGAGCCAAATTTGTTCTTACCTAAATTTCTCAGAAGGCTCGTTGCCAGTTCGTTATTTAGGAATGCCTTTGATTTTAAAAAGGCTTTCTCATCTAGATTGTTCACCCCTAATAAACAAAATTTTGGAGCAGTTTCAAGGTTGGCAAAGCAAGAGGAAACTATCATATGTGGGGAAAATTCAATTGATAAAATCTATTATTCTGGGGATTCAAATTTACCGAACAAGCAATTATGTGTTGCTGATAAAGGTGTTGCAAAAGATAGATAAAACTTTACTCTGCTTTCTTATGGGATCACAAGGTTTACCTAGTCTGATGGTGTGATATATGTATAGACAAGAAGATGGGAGGACTGGGCCTATTCAGTACAAGGGATTGAAATTATGAAGCTATAATCAAATTGCTACGGATGATACACACCAATAAAGATCTGTTATGGATTAAATGGGTGCATGAAAATTACATACACCAATTGGATATATGTCAGGTTCAACCAAAGAGAAATGACTCATGGATGTGAAGGCAATTGCTCAAGGTGATTGGATATGACCTTAAGAAGATTTGGAGATAGAGATAATCTGCAAGAGTAATAAATGATTGTTACATAAATGAAAAGATTCAGATATCTTCCATATATAAAGCTATGACTCAATCATCAACACATGTAACTTAGTCGGATACAATTTAGGGAGCCCTACACTATCCTAAACATTCAATCATATTGTGGTTAACTACCCTTTCCAGACTCCTGACACAAGACAGGTTATGCAGACTGGGAATGATAAATGAAAACCAATGTGTCTTGTGCTCAGCTCAACAGGAAACCTGTAAGCACTTGTTTTTTGAATGTCAATACTCTACATATATCTGGAATGAAATAATGGAATGGTTGGGCTATGCTTGGAGATCATGCAGTTGGAATCAAATTATAAACTGGTATAGCACCAATTTGAAGGGGCTAGGATTCATGAAAAATATAAAAAGAATGGCACTATCGGCAACTGTGTATTGGATTTGAAAGGAGAGGAATCTGAGGATCTTCCAACAAAAAATTCGTGCACCTGATCAGTTACTCCGAGAGGTGAAGATATCTATCCTATCAAAAGATCTAAATGAAAAAATCCCTGATCATATGAAGGAAAGAATAGAGAAAATGTAAGTCACAGTATACTTTTGATATTAGCTACACCCTCATTCCTATGGTGATGGTGCTCTATTGATGTGACTGGGCAGGATGAGTTTTATTCTTAATAAGTCTGACCTATGTGGGGGGATAGATACTAGTCACAGTATACGTGGAAGACTTACCTATGTGAGAGGAACCGTGAAGGCCGCTGTGAGGGGACATGTGGCTGATCCCTAGTAACTCTCATGTGACGGTTATGTGAGCATGACCATTAACAATCCAACTGCTTCCTCATTAAATGGATGCATATTTGTACGTGCTTTTGTTAATATTTGATAAAGGGGCATAACTTAAGTTTTGGCCATTGTGTTCCTTAGGTTGTGACAAATGGTACCGAGTAAAGGTTCAAAGCCGAAAACCACCTTTATGGAATTCACAATATCAAGTTGTCCGACATATTTTTCTTTATTGTTTTATCCACTCGATCTTCTTTTCTTCCTCGGAACTCAACCTTTTGGAGCGAATTGTTGGAAAATATATTTCCTTAATAAAAGATTGAGTTTCTTTTGTGAATTTTAATATGATTTTTTCCTAATTTATTACCTTTATTTTTCATATTAATTTTCCGTAATTATTGGTTATTATGGTTACTTATTTTAATTATTAATTTCCTATTAAACCTATTAATTATCGAAAAAATTTGGTATGTCATTAAAAAGTACACTGTTGGTTTTCTACCCATACATATAAAGGGAGTGGCGGAGAGCTTCTAGCAACAGGAGGAAAACGGCAATAAAAAAATGGAAAAGAAAAGAAAAGCTTTATACTTCTCCACTTGTATAATTCTCTCGTATTTATTTGCTATATTTTCTGGGAAACCCTCTCCATTCTCTCACTCTATCCCCCCGAGTAGTTTAAGGACGACGTGTCCATCTGCAGGAGACCCGGGTACTTCTATTTAGGAACCAAAAAAAAAAACCTGAGTTCCTTTTAAACTAGATTTACCGTACATTCTTGTTCCAAAAAATGAATGCGAATCCAAATGAGAATAATAATGAGACAAGATGGGATATATAACCTGTAGAGACAAAAGTAGGAACAGAAACCCCTCTCCATTCTCTCACTCTATTTCCCCGGGTACTTTAGGAAGACGTGTCCATCTGGAGGAGACCCGGAGGTCGGCAGGTACTACGTACCGCCGCGCCCTCCTGTGATCTCCACGCCCATTAGTTCTTTAATATTCCCGCAGCGGACAAATGGCCGTTGGTTGGGACTTTGAGAGGCTATCTGCGGTCTTGCCGCCCACTGTAGTCGTAGCCCCTTCTGGCCTTCTCGCTTGAGTGTACTATTCACCCCTCCCCCTCTCATTCATCTAGCGGGCCTCTCACCGCTGGACGAGCTAACAAAGTAACATTGACTGGGATTATTATTTTTTTTTTTTACCACGCCCGCTTTGCTTGTTAGATTCCACACATGTCCTTTCCAAATCTGAAGTATCTAAATCGATCCCACCCGTGTCCTTTCCAAATCAAATCCCACTTAATTGAATAAAAGCGGGCTCATCTGTATTTATCGTATCTATTTGTAGCTGTATCATACGACCTATATCTTTTTTATCTCATCTGTTTTTATCATATTTGTTTGTAGCCGTATACATCTTCTCTTATTTTGTACTTGTATCCGATTTTGCAGAATTATAGATATGAGTTTTTCTTACAAATATATATTTGTATCTGTAACAGTTAAATGGATATGTATATGATGAGTATCCTATTTGATTCACATCTGATTCTTTTGCACCTCTAATTACTTGCCGAAATTTAATAGTGGATTTTGAAAGTGCATATCTGTAGCTATAATAGATCAAATAATTAGAAACAATATGCCCAATGATTTCGTGTGGTAAATATATATAATATATACTATATATATATACTATATATATTATATATATTAATATATATATATAGTATAATATATATATAGTGAATAATATATTCTTATGCCGCATGCAAATTATGCAAATTTGTTTCTTAGATAAGCTAAATAATTTACATTGCAGTCTTAATGTGCACGTGTTATAATCGGTATTTTAACATCCAAGTCTCACATTTGAACCGATACTATACATTCAATCAAATTTATCATAAAGCACCATATGTCTAACGTTTAATGTTCTTTTTGAAGTGTGCAAGTCAAACACTGGACACACCATGCTTCGTTTCATGCCTACAAGTTGCACGCTAGCAAGTTAAGCTTCACCTCAAGACAGATGCAAAAACAAAGGTAAGAAGTATAGAGGTCTCTGATTGAAATTTGTGGAGTTCTTTTACGGTGCACGTTAGCGGGCTTTCTTTCGTTTGTAACCGTGTGCCCCGCCGTGATTTGATGGGGAAAAAGAAGAAAATGAGAGCAGATCTTTATATTGATAAGATCTTTGAATTCTGATCTTGACCTAGAGATCAACTGATACACAGTTCGTTGGGAAGATGATGAAGAAATCTGATC